CCGGTACGGGTGCGACACTGAGGGTTGCGATCCATTGCTGGTCACGAAAAAAGACAAAAAGGAAAAAAAAAAAAAGAAAATTACAAAAAAGAACACAGGTGTTTAATCAGTCATGGTGAAAACATAAACAAACTGGCTACATGACAATTTTCATTAAAGCAGGTGCAACTTAAAAAGTTTAAGCAATTTACCATCAAAAGTGTCATAAAACTAAGCTATGTGACATACGAAAGAACCAATGAGATAATCGTTATGGCAACACTTAGTTCCCTAGGAAACTTAGAGAAACAGCTGAAGGTGAAATGTGGAACCAACCACTAATTGGCAGAGGAGCCTTGAAGCTTTTAGCACACATATTTTCCCATCATTAGATTTAGCCGCACCAAGAACATCTGCCCTGAGAGCAAACACTTTTGCTGTGTTACAATTTTCATATCCACACCAGAGACTTTTTAGTCCTGTGAAAGTTTTCTGGTTTTTCCCAAGCTTAGCATTTCTATGTGCAATACTTAGTATAAAAGGTTATTCCCTAAACTACAGAACTTTGGTCCTGCTAACAACTACAAGGCTGTGGCCCCACTAAGATAAAGATCCTACTAAACTACAGCCCGATCTAAGGACTGTGGTCCTACTAATCTAAGGACTTTGGTCCTACTAGGCTAAAGGTTAGGACTTGTGAAATACATTGCTTTATTAATGTTAGTACCCTCCACACTATTTAACATTATTTTTCAGTAATGTAGAAAACATGGGAGTAGTAATCATCTAGTCTACATGCACCTAATTAAGAAACAAATGACAGATGTAAGATTACCTTAGCCAGCTGGAGTGCTAGGCTAAGACTAACAAAAAGGAATTTCTCCAGATTAAATGTTAAGTCCTACATTTAAGTTCCAAGAAAACACCTTACATAAGTTCAGGGTGAGGGAAGCCTGACTTTGCAGTAGCTCAAGTCAGAACAAGCAGAGTTATAATCAACAGTAAGTTGAACATAAGACAATGGGAATGCCTGAACTATAAAAGACGCCTTGACTTGGTCTGGGTTAATAAAAGAACAGCATTGTTTTGGCACCTTTTGCGTAGAAGGTATGGATACTGAAGGCAATTGTTCCTCTGTAACAGGCAGTACATCTTTTGTACTATTTTAGGAGGGATGTTAACAAAATAGGGGGAATAGTCACAGGAGAGTAATTAGGAGGAGACCAGCATAATAAATTGCCAAGAAGTCTTTTCACACAGGTAAAGTCAAAGGAAAAAGAACCAGGAAGAGTAAACATTAATGATGAAGAGAGTGTTAACTTTTAAAGTTCACATAACAGCAATCATAACAGCTACCATTTATTTAGTACTAACAATGTACCCATCACAGTGCCGGCTACTTATACAATTAATTAACCCTCACTAACTAAAAAAAGGATTATTTTTTCCATTTGACATGAAGAAACAGAAGCTTGGGAAGTTTAATTAAGTAATATTTATCCTTCTGTTAGCCTTTGCTGTACTTCAGTGGCTTAAACCAACAATGACTTATAATTTATAATGATTTTGTGGTCAGCTGGGCAGTTCTTCAGCTTCAGCTGGTATTTCCTTGGTTTACCCACGCAGCTGCATTCAGCTGGAGTGTCATCTGGGCTGAGACGTCCAAGATGTCCCCACTCACATGTCTGGGAGCTCATCAGGCTGTGGGCTGGAGCACTTCAGTTCTCCTCTAAGCATCCTCCCACCTCTAGTAGGCTAAATTACTTCCTTATATGGCAGGTTCAGAGCAGCATCCCAAGAGGGCCAAGGCAGAAGCAGCAAGGCCCACCTGAGCTCCAGAACTTTCCCAGTATCACCTTCTCCACATTCTGTTGGCCAAAGCAAATCCCAAGGCCACCCCAGATCTGAGGAGGTGGAGAAATAGACTATACCTCTGGATGAGAGAAGTTGCAAGGTCTCATTGCAAAGGAGAAGTATACTGGCATTTGAGAGGAATTTGCAGCTGTTCAACAATCTGCCGTCGTACCCAAACTCACCTTGTCAATGGCTACACCAGGAACTGAACCCAGATCTGCCTAATTCTGAAGGATACATGCTTCCCACTGTGAGAAATACCCTCACCCATCCAATGCCAAAGAATGGACATGGAGACACGAGGTAGAACGAAGTGAGACTTTAATAGCAGTCTTGCAAGATCTGGTGTCTGATGGTCAGGCACACATGAAACAGTTACAGCAAGCAATTTATTCCCCTGTGTGCAAGTCGCTCCCCCAGTTCCTCATTGGCTGAGTACTACGGGATGTACAGTCTTCCTGGACAATGCTGAGATTTATTATCCCCTTGTTAGGAATTTCTTTGTCTGATGGCTCAGGACAAGCCCACGAGAAAGGCCCGCCAAAAGTGCTGATAAGGGAGAACCAGGAAATGAAGACAACAAAGGGCTAGTGACTAATCATCACCTTGAGAAGTCATTTCTCAAGAATGACATGCTGCTTCTGAGCTCTGCCTGTTCAGGGACTCTCTGGGAATGGGTTGAGCCAGTTAAACAACTTTTGCGTTGTGCCAGTTAAACACCCTTTGCTAAGCTATTCCTGAAAACGAATCACATAAGCTATTTCCTTACACCCACCAAACACACTGCCTCAGAGGACATTGTCCTGCATGTTCCATATGGCAAAACTTGGGCCAAATCATGAATCTGACACTAAGGTACATTTCAGCTCAGCATAAGTGATGTAGTATGAACGTCACTCCAAAACTCATACCAAAGTTTGATCCCCAATGTAACAGTGTTAAGAGGATGGTGAATCCAACTGTGTATTCAAAACGTGGGGCCATTAAGAGGTGATTGGGCCCTGAGGGCTATGCCCCCATGAATGGATTAATCCATTCGTGGATTAATGGGTTATCATGGGTGTGGACTGCTGGCTTTATAAGGAAAGCGTGTGAACATGCTCTTTCCCCCTTGCCATGTGATACCCTGCACTGCCTTGGGACGCTGCTGAGAGTCCCCACCAAGAAGGCCCTCCCCAGATGAGCCCCCTTAACCTTGGACTTCCCAGCCAGCAAAACTTGTAAGAAATAAATTTCTTTTCTTTATAAATTACCCAGTTTCAGGTATTCTGTTATAAGCAACAGAAAACAGACTGATACAACAAGAAACAACTTTCTGGAACCAGAGCTTTCAAAAAAAAAAAAAAAAGGACAGAAATAGTAAATTTTTCATTCCTGGAAATATTCAAGCAGAGACAGGTAAACAAACAACCACTCAATATGCTGTAGGAGCAGGAATGATTCATGAACTGGATGATAGACTGTAACGGTGGATGACCTCTAAGGTTCCTACCAACCTTTATATTCCATGGTATATGGAAGAAGGAACTAAATAAGATAACTTGGAAGAAAAACTAAAAACATTACCCATCC